GCTTTTGAAAATCTACCCCTTCTTCTCTGCAAAGTGGTGGCTTCCCATGTGGTCTGTTATGTTTACAATTATGTGTGTTTGATGTTTCTGTGACCTGTTTTCACTCATTACCACTGCACTTAATATTATTGCAAAAGAAGGCTAATGATTCTTTTTTTTGCAATTGTAACTAAAATGCTACCATAGCAGAGGGTATGTGTTGGCCAAGGTCTTTATTATGCAACTGTATGCAGATCACTATGAACTGCATCATTCATCTAGCTCAGTGATGCAGCACCAAGGTCACTGGGCATTTTTGAGCTAATGATGAGACCATAAGTCTAATAAATGTGCTTGGTAATCACAGCAAACATATTGTCATTGTTGCAGATGTTATTCTTTCAAAATCACTTGGCAAACACAACTAAAACACAGCACTTGTGCATGCTCTGACCTCTCCTAAGAATGCACCATCAAGAACACTGAGGAGGTGAGATCGTTTAAGCAGACAAGTCATGGCCTACAGCTTCAAAATCGGTACTTCTAACATCACCATTGCAGTTTACTGAGAATAAACATGTAAGAGGCTAAATGAACATGGAATCAGTGAAGGGCAAATTTTGACAGAGAACAGATTTTGAAAAGGGACATATCCATAAGTAACGCCAACACAGGTAGAGATCAACTTCATATTACAATGATCTAGGTAGGTTGACATTAATTTATTTTTGTAGCCCTTATGCTGCAGTAACCAACTACTTGCTGATCCAGTAGCCTTTTGTTGTCTGCCAGAAAATACATTAACCACCAAATGCATCATGTCACTGTGAGCTTTGCCATTGTCTGCAGTGATTCTCCATAAGGCTTATCAGATGCTGCAATTGCTGATTTCTTTGAAGGGATATATATCATCTCCCAGGCTGGGTCACCAGATTGCTAATGGAATGCACTCAAAAAGTGGTGATGTACTGCCCAGAACTTATTGCAGCCCCAGTGTCTTGCAACCCATCATATATAAGTATATTTTTATTTTTGCATATGTATATGTATATCATATATATGTACATTTTTGGCTATCAGGCATAAACAAGCCCACAACAGCCTGACCACTAAATATGCTCCTGACAATAAGGGAGCAAAAGGAAATTTAAACCAGACACAATTTATTGAATTCTTGCTTCACTTATACCCATTATTGATAAGAATAAAGGTCAGTAATTCAACATTACTGCAAAATTCACTTAAGATTGTTCAGTGGACAGAGAAAGCCAACATGTGACGATGGCTGTTTAGCAAGGAGGTGAAATAAACGTGGTGGCAAGAGAGGTCTAAGACAAGACAGAGCTGTCATGTCTCATTCTCAAATGACATAAACAATGTAATGAAAGTCATGAAATCAGTTTCATTGCTTTTGTCTATAAGCTTTCTGTAGCTTCCATGCTAAAAACTGGAAAAATATTACTCCTTGCTAATGGAGCTATTTCACCAGGAAGCACGGCATGTGTCCAATTCAGTGTGTCAGCAGCTTTCAAGCCTCAATTCAGTTTACCAACAGTTAAACTATTCAAGGCCTATATCTTTTAGAGATGAAGTGTGACAAGATGATTTTTGATAAATGGTGGAACCTTGGTACTACAAACGTGGCCCTTGGCTTGCCAAGGAGAGCAGGTCTCTGATGCAACCTGATGCATTGTCAGCCGTTGCTGTTCAGATAACCGTTTGATCGTCATTGCATACTCCCACCCACACTATAGTGTCCTGTCACTCAGAATATGTTCACTTTCATTCTCGCCTGCATTTTGTTGCAATAGAACAGCAAAATGTTTAGACTACAGCAGAATGCTGCAAGCTTGTTTCTGAGGGTGACCTTGAGTATATCTGGCACACAAGAAGTGCAGTGGGAGACAGGCAAGCACTTTGTCTCCTATATCTCTCCTGTACCACCTGTGACCAGCACTGGTATCACAATTTGAAATAACAGAAAGGAACTAAGTAAGTGCGCATTTTTGTGCGTGAATGCACATTCAGAATTAAACTTTCATGTGCATGCTATGAAAATCAAGAAACCAAAGACTGATTAGAAACTTTTACCCTCCAAAACCATGATTTTTTTTCCCCTTTTGCTCTGAGGCTTATGTTTAAGCTTTGTGATTTTTTAACTTTTCAGGGTGGGAAGCATGAATTAAAAATCAGTCTGTGACCCATTACTATTTTATAATCCTCTCTTTGGCAAGTTGAAAGTAACAGCTTGCCAGGCTTGTATTTAAACTTTCATGGAATGATGTGAGGGAGTGAAATACAATGGCCCAGACAAGAGACAATACAGGAAAGCTAGGTGGTGTTGGGCAGGCCTGTCCAGAGAGGCAGAACAAGAGTATATTACTGAATATACACATTTTGAACCGATCTTAGACCAAAGAACATTTATTTTTGAGGAAGCAACTGCTTATACTAGTGACCATAATATTTTTACATTCAGGAAGCACAGAGGAATAACAGGGCCAAAAGCATCACTATGGCTGTGCTGACCTTTGGAAAGGAGAGCTATGTAAAAATGAGGAATCTTGTTAAAAGAAGTTGAAGAAGGATGGCTAAGAGATTTAAATCCTCACAGGCAACATAGAGACCCCTGAAGAACACCATACTGGGAGCACAGCACCAGTGCTTGCTGGAAATCCCTTGGGAACAGGTAAAAGGAAATCAGAATGGCTAAACAGTAAAGCAAGGGAAGTTACTGAAATTAAGAAGTTAGCATTCAAAAAGATGAAGATTCATCTCAGTGAAGAGAAGAAAAAAGTTATAAATTCTGAGAGAATAAACATAAAACTATAATTAGACTAGCATTTGCTTTGTAAATATTGTGGCAAAATTTCAAGGTGTTCATTTTCCCTGTAAGTAATTTGACTTGTCTATGACATCAAAAGACAAATTGATGGCTTGATTCACTGGTTCCCCTGCCATTCATATCATGCGGATCAGGATGAAAATGAATATAAAGTGCTGCGGAATAGAGCCATTTTATAGTTGTTTTAGGCAGTATGAATGATGATAGGAAATGTAGGACAAAAATGGATCTAAATGTTTCTAAACCATCTTTTCTGAACTTCAGAAAAAGTGAAAGCATATGAAT